GCAGCAGCAGCAGCAGCAGCTTCAGCAGCAGAAGCAGCAGCAGAAGCAGCAGTAGTAGTAGTCGTCGTCGTCGTGGTAGTGGTAGTAGTAGTGGTAGTAGTAGTAGTAGTAGTAGTAGTAGTAGTAGAAGTAGTAGTTGTTGTGTTGTAGTAGTACTAGTAGCAGCTGTTGTAGTAGTAGTAGAAGAAGTGGTAGTAGTAGTAGTAGTAGTAGTAGTAGTAGTAGGAGTAGTAGTAATAGTCGTCGTCGTCGTAGTAGTAGTAGTAGTAGTGGTGGTAGTAATAGCAGCAGCAGCAGCAGCAGCAGCAGGAGGAGGAGGAGGAGGAGGAGGAGGAGGAGGAGGAGTAGTAGTATTGTCACTGCTACTGATACGGCTGCTGCCGCCGCTACTGCCGCTACTGCTGCTGCTGATACCATTACTTACTGCTGCTCAAAGTATGCTGCTACGACTACCAGTACTACTATGACGACGACGACGACGTAGACGAGGATGCCGGCTGCTGCTGCTTCTTCCAATTTCCGGGATCACCGCAACGACGACTGCCGACGTCCGCGAGTACTCCGACGACGACGACTACTCCACTCAGTCTGATGATGCCGTCACTCGATGCTGCCGCTTCCGCTAATGCAACTACTTGCACGACTACCAGCACTACCACTTGCACGCTGGCACTGGCACTAGCACTACGACTACCACTACTGCACTGCTGCAGTTGTTCATCCGCCGAGTTCAACAAGAGTGCCCTGGACTGCCAGGCTGGATGTAGACTGAAGCCTTGAATGGGCAACCCGTAGGATCGTAGTATGACGCATTCGAAGCACGGCACGCTAGTGGCCAAGGTCTCCACCGCAGCGAGTCCAGCTCTTGGCGCATGCGCTCTACCTCGCGTAATTACCAGTTGATGGGTGAATGAGCGGGATTGACAAACCACCTGAATCGCAAGACTTGCGTTCTCAGCGCGCACCCTGAGCCTAGCAATGAATCATTGAACCTGTGGCGACTGGCACCGGCCGCAAAGGTGGAGGTTGTGGCTGGCGCTCTAAACTCTAAGCCGAGCTACTACTGTCGTAGCACTTGTAGAAGTAAAAGGGAAGATGCAGCAAGGAGCAAACGCATGCGTCGAAATGTCGCTGTCTCACCTCGTCCTGCTCGGCATCAAATTGTGTCTGGGCAAGAAGGAGTCTCCTCAGCACTCAACATGCAAGATCTGATATCGCCGTCTCAGAGAGAGGCTTTTCAGGATTCCGGCTTTGGCACTTCAAGAGCTTTTAGATGTTCACTCTCCGTTAGCTCTCTTCAACCCTGCTCATCGAACGATCTCAAGCCAGCCTTGCGACGCGACAACTCACTCAGTGCAGTCGATGTGTTGCTGCTTGGCTTTCGACTTTCAGGCTCCATACTTTGAGGCCTCATAATCAAAGTCGCTTGGAGGTATCTGGTCAAACCAGCTCTGCCAATTCTCCGAAATGGTCCTCCGTGGTTCCAAAGTCCCTCGAGTCTGATGACGTCTGAAGACTTCAAGGGGTCGCAGCCATAAGCAAAATAGGGAGCTGAGCTGGCGACCTTTGGTCCTCCTGACTTCAGCTGCTTCAGCTGCTCGGATTTGCTTTCTCTGCTCCAAACGATACTCTACAGACTCTACAAGGGGGGGGTCGTTTGTTGTGCCTTTGGACCTCAGCCCAAGGCTCCAAGCTGAACCTGGTTGGCAGCTGCCTATGAAACTCCTTTGTGTGCCTCGTTCCAAGAATCTCCTGTAGCTGCACACGACAGTGTTGCCATGACCGCTATGCCGTGCAGCAGTACAGCCACCTCAATAGAACGTCCAGAACTTTAACTCGGCAACCTCTTTAAGCGCTTTGATACTCCTCTCCAAATTGGCACGCTGCAAGGTCCAACCTCCAACTGCCGCTTCGCCCGCTCAACTGCTTGGCGTTCCGCCTGCGTAGGGTATGGTTGACGCTCCACTTCCTACATCACTTGCACGTCCTGCCTTGCACTTGCGCGCGCGTGTGTGTCATGTCTCAAAACTGCAACAATGCAGTGTAAGGCCCAATATGCATAATGTACCCTTGGTCTGGACAACTAAGACATGCACAAAAGAAGTGGTACTGAGCTAGTAGTGTTGGGGGAAACAACGATCCTATGTTCACAGAGCTTCTGTATTTGTTCCGTTCAGCCGAGCAGACTGTCCTCTGGATCCTGTTGAGAACAATCTTGCTCCGTGCATGCCCCCACCCTAACCGCCCTAACGGCATGCACCGTGCATCCACACGCTCTCTTCTTTTGACTCGTGCTGCTGGTGCGGCGGTTATCCGACCTCCATGTCGGGCCGTCGAGAGGCTCCTTGCCCCTCTTTCTGGTGATCCCACGACCCTTTATCCATAAAGGAGCCCCCCTGGACCCTCCCTCCCGTCACATCGCTCTAACCGGTTTCTCCGTCGGTGAACGAGGGAAGCGGGTCCGAGGTGGGTCGTAGTCCCAGCCCGGGCATTGGGGACTTAACCCCACCTTACCCTCAACAGCCGTGGCGTCCGGGTGTTGGGGCCGTCCCCTCGACACCACAAACCGGAGCGGTCCAGAGCTAACCACAGCCCTTGCTGGAGCTCATGAGCCGACTTTGGACTGGCACTGCCCTAGCAGCGAGCCGAAACACCATGTCCCATGGGGTAGCCGGGTCGAAGTCCGGTTCTTGGCCCTTTGTGAAGCGCTCGTAGAGGTACCTCTTAGGCGAGGGAAGTGTTCGGCCGGCATCGGTCCTCGGCGGTGAGCAGTAGATGCCACACCTCCGCGTACCGCACGCACAGGTCACGAAACGTCTCCCGGTATAGAGGTCCAGGGCGGACTGTGCCACCACCGGAACCTGCACACCCTTCACCGGGTCCTCCACGCGAAGCATGAGGAGTGTGTTTGCGAACACTTGCCAAGAGGCCAACCAAACGTCGAAGGACGGGGGCCCTGGCACCTCCACGGCTCTGAACGTCCCGTCGGGCTGGAGCACGTGGTTTAAGAACTTGAGGGCCCTGGAGAACCGGGACTGGAAGTTGACGAAGAGGGCGAAATCTGCGTAGGGAGCCAACCCCAAGTCCACCATGGACGGACGGGCCCCCTTTCACCAGCTCCAAGTTGCGGTAAAAGCGGTCCATGTCCACCTGGTCCAGTTTAGGCACCTCCCTGTCGTCTCCTTGGTCCAGCACGGTGCTCATTTTCACCTTCCGTGCGGTGTCACTGGGATTCCCCGCGCGGGGGGGGCGCCGCAGCGATCAGCTGCTGAGCCGCGGTGAAGGGGTCCATGTCTGGTAAACCCAACTTCAGCCTCGCAATTCGCCAGAGCAGCCCAAGTTGCGTAGCCTCGATGACGCGGATCTCCCTGGTGGCCGCTGGAGATCCTGTAGTCGGCGCGGGTATGCGCGAGGCTCGGATTGCCGCTTGAATGGCTGCGGGCGGCACTGAACCCAGGACCCGGAGGTCTGGGGTGCCACCCAGCGTAACCTTCAGGGCCTCCCACGCAGCATCCTCCACACCGGCGAGGTCTCTAGCCTCGCCGATGTTGCGCACCGCAGTGATCTCATCGGCACTGAAGACCGGCGGTGCCGCAGGAGCCGTCACTGCCCCCACACCCGCCATCTTGGATGGGGATCGGGGATCTAAAAGCGAGGCCACGGGCACTTGAACCCAAATGCCCACGGAGCCAACACAATCTCCCTAACCTCCAAGCACTCAGCAGATTGTTATTTCTTACATGAATGTAATACACGACAACAATATGCCCGCAAGATCTGTTTGACTAAATGCGGCGACTGGCTGTCTGGGGCTTACGAGTCCAGTTGAAAGACAAAGATTGTCTTTGATTTGACATGGTGGCTGCGCGGATCAAGTCACCCGCTCAAGTACCTGTTGTCGAAATCGATTCACCCGGTGCTCATGCTTCAGTAATTCAAAAACTTACTCCCAATACATCAATATCCACATCAAACAAGGGCTTGTGCACAGGCTGCACCTCCAGCTGCTGCAGACCTTCCGACACCTAGAGCTTCGACACTTGGAAGCAAGGTCTTCTAGACACCGTACTTTGGACTTAGGGTCTCGTGACTGGGATCGGCAAGGTTCTGAAACTGGTGAAGCAGCACTCGATCTCAAACCATAGCAGATCCCAGGTGCAACGGAAGTGGTTGAAACTGTCGAAATGTGAGAAAGGACAGTCTTGACCAGGAAAAGGTGTGGCACGGGACACGACATCCTTTCTTCAATGAGTTGCCGGAGGGTGTTCAAGCACCTTGAATGTAAGAGCACCACATTATATGAGACGCTGGAAGCTAACATGTTGTCCAAGCGCATAATGAAGCTTTCAAGGTGGATGGAGCCCACCGGAGCCCCCTAACCAAAGCAACGCAGCTACACTTATCAATACGCGGGTGAATGTCACATTGCTAATGCTAAACTTTACTTCTTAAACCTTTGAGATTCCATTTGGCTGTCTACCTACCTATATCTATGTCACTAGGCCAGTGGGTCAACGCGATGAACCTCAACTCTGAACTTGACCCTCTTTCTTCGACAGCAAAGGCTGCACATCTAAATGCCGCCTCTGCGAGGCGCTCGTCGATGGCCCTCTCGGCCCGCCGCGCAGATCTCGGCTTTCTGGGTTGCTCACTGTACTGCTGGCGAAGTCGGAGGAGAAGCAATTTCGAAGACTGATTTCATCGCAGGCCATACGAAGTCCGGAATACCACTTCGACATTATCGCGTGCTTGATGCACTCAACAAGGCCTCAATGCGCAAGCACCATCCCAGGAGCCATGTGAATCCAACCAAGTCCCGAAAACTGTGCACTCGGCGTGTGTGACGGGCAAGCGTACGAGCAGATTCGCGGACAGGCGCAACACGGCTTGTTATGCAAGCTTAGCGGCTAGTTCTGAAGGGCCCCACCCGGTCAACCAAGCGAACTGTCTGCGCCCGCACAAAATGAGCTGAGGCCTTCCTTTGATGAAGATCTGCTCCAGAGTTTGACGCAGCTATGGCGCAACTGAGGATTACGATTGATCATTCTCTTCCCCCGGAATGCCGAAGAGCAATTCTCTTGCAGAAAGGACGAATCATCTGGTGATCAACACGGTTGCCACATCCCTGCTGCATGCCGGACTACCAGCACAATACTGGCCATGTTGTCCGCCTCGAGAGGACACGTTTCACACCGTCTTGATTATGGTGGGAAAGACGCAGAAGTAGGTCATGACGAGTTGTGTCCATATGGACACAACTCTCATTTGTGCACGAATATGTTTCGTGTCATGTCTTCGTGCCTAATCATGACTGCCCTATCTGCCTTCGTACATGTATGTGTAGCTGTGTAAACAAAAAGCTATAACCACAACAAATAAGTGCAACGTAGATAGAGTAGGACTGGTTCAAACAACCATGCAGCCCCGCGGCTCACGCAAGTTGCTTTTCAACTCATCAATCGCGGCCTGGGATCAGCGTTACAAATTTAGTTGTCGAGACTGGTCCCTGCTGCGGAGTGAAGGAATTGGATTGTATCGGGCATGTCTTGTGGCTCAAATGTTCGGGCTCAGGGTGCAACAAGCTCAAGGACGATTGAGGAGCATTGGATGTGCTTCACGGATCGAGGAGCATAATTGGGTAGTGCTTCATACTGCTGACGTAAGTCTTGTTCGGCTTGGGCCGGGAGTGGAGTTGGAGTTTGTCTGCTTGAGGCGGGTGCCCTAAGTCTGCTTGATACAATATCTACTTCCGCGTGATGCTACCACTAGGGTCGCGGCAACTTGACATGTAAGGGTAATTGAAGGACAAGTAATAATTAGTACTGATAGTAGTAGCAGTAGCAATATCAGCAGCATGTAGCAGAAGCAGAAGCAGAAGCAGAAGCAGCAGCAGCAGCAGCAGCAGCAGCAGCAGCAGCAGCAGCAGCAGCAGCAGCAGCAGAAGCAGCAGCAGCAGCAGCAGCAGCAGCAGCAGCAGCAGCAGCAGCAGCAGCAGCAGCAG